TATTTGTTATATGTGATGTTATATGTTAATACATATATCTATATATGTATTTACATATATTTATATATGTATTTACATATATTTATATATATTATATGTAAATATATATTTATATATATATTTACATATATACATTTATTTGTTATATGTGATGTTATATGTTAATACATATATCTGTATACGTAAATACATATATTTATATATGTATTTATGGGCCCTATGTGTCTTTTTGTAAAAATGCTTTTGAAGGGTTAGTTGAACCATGATACTGATTTACCCCTCAGTAGTCCTGATCCTGATCCTGATCCTGATCAGACTTAGATCCTGACACTGACTTTGATCCTGATCCTGATCCTGACACTGACTTTGACCCTGACTTTGATCCTGATCCTGATCCAGATCTGACTTCCTGTCTGTGTTCATCTTCTCTCTGTATCTTTCCTGACGTCACTGTCATCTTTTAGTGAATGTTAATCCTGAGCGTGACTCAAGTGAAATCAGACAGGAGGCGCTACAACAACTGAAGGACCTGTAACATCACCCCCACCCCCCCCGTCCTCTCTCCTCCCTCCGACACACAGGGCCTCGGAGCACTTGACTGTTCTGCTCCTGCTCCTTGACTCCTGCAGGAGCACCAGTCCCAGTCACCCGTGTGTCCCTGCTAACACACATTAGCATACGCAGGAGTTGCAGCTACTGAGGTTCATATGTGTGTGTGTGTGTGTGTGTGTGTGTGTGTGTGTGCGTCATGCTAACGGAGGTGTGATTACAGCCATGTGAAGTGAAGCGTTTCTTATCGCCTTCAGTTATTAATAACAGATCCTAATCTTGGAGCCGTGTGTGTGTCTTTATGTGTGTGTATGTGTGTGTGTGTGTGCCATCTGCAGTGAGTGTGTGTGTATGTGTGTGTGTGTGTGTGTGTGTGGCCCCCCGGATGTGTCTAACATCATTAACAATGGAAGCGTCATCCCAGGTAAGTGAAGTGGTCCATCTCTGTCAGCTTAGCTCCTCACCTGCTCCCCCTCTCTCCTCGGACTCCTGCTGTTACACACACACACACACACACACACACAAATGGAGGAACAAACTCACACACACACACACACGTGCAACCGCACAGACACACACACTCAGCAGGAGGTTTACAGGGAAATGAGAAAAGGATGGATGTCAGGAGATGAAGGTGTGAACGGACAGATGTGTGTGTGTGTGTGTGTGTGCTCTGGACTCAGAACACACACACACACACACTTCAATGTCCTTTTTTTAAATTTAATAAACAATAACGTTTCTAATTTTTGTCATAAAAATATCACAGTTAATCAGCGGGTTGTGGGTTCAACTCCCAAACTTGTTCATGTGCCGCAGCGTTACGGCCAGTAGGGGGACGTTGAGGAGTGAAAATTATTCCAAGACAAATTAAAGGAACGTCTTTCATGTTTTTTTTTTTAAAGTTGCTCTAATATTTAAATTCCTGCTTCGTTGGCTCCGAAGGAGACGAAGGAAACTGACGACGCTTCTATGTTGTGTATTTCTATAGTGAAGTCAGGGAGCGGCTCCAAACCACAGCGATGCTTCAACAGAGACAACGTCCTTCTTCTCACTTTCTTTCTCTGTTTTCCTCCTCTGTCTCCACCCCCTCTC